GTAACCAATACAATAAAATTCCAATTTAGCAATCACTTTTCTGTTCAAATTATATGTTGATTTTCTTTGCTTTTCTACATTCTGGACAAACCCACGACTTCCTTGATGTTGTGAGTTTCATGCACTTTAAGTGAAATTTTGATATCGCACAATTTTTATTCTTGCAAATAATTATCTCGCCATTTCCAGTTTCTTGCCTGCACCTGCAAATGGCATCAAGGGTTAAGCTTTGATCATTTGATAAATACTGTTGAGTGGTGTCTCTGGTGAACCATTTGCAGCATAATTCAGGCATTATCGAAGTGAGGTACACATGCTTGACTTTGATAGTGTTTTCCTCATAAAATTTAAGGTCTGGAAGCAATCTCTGATAATAAAATTCTTTTTCAGTCCACACAACTATGTCTCCATAGCTAGCTTTACATGAAAATATCTGGAGTTGCAACTGGAAGTAGTACTGGTGATCTGTTTTTAATCCAATAATCTCACCATTTGCATTTCGAACTAAGCAGCTAGAGTCCCTGTCAGCTTCATCTGACAAAGTACCATGGCGAGAACAATATGGACATTTGATCTCCAACACTCCCTTCCCACAGCAATTGCAGCTAATGACACCGTCAGGTGAGGCACCCATATATGGGAACTCATGATTGATCACAAATCCAGATTGTAACACGCTGAAGTCCTTGTGTAAGGGCTTAGCATGATTGATGAACTGTTGCCTTGCTGTTTCCTCGTGCTCACACCCCCACCTGGAAGAGATGAAGATAGCATTTTAATTTAACTTAATTTGGTGATGTTTCATTGAATTTTTCTTACGATTCTCAAATGACAAATATTGGCGAAGTTTTATCTGCATGAATCAATACATATATCCTATCTGATATTTTAGCTAACTTGATTTTATTGATTTAGACATGATTCTCTACACAGGTGCATGATTTAAGGTTAAATATTACATGTATTTGTCTGTTAAAACATGGAGCTGCTAAATGTCTCTAATACATTGTGTATTAAACAAGAACTTGTGGAATATATGGGATACAATTCATCAATCCTTAGAAACACGTTAATTCTATTATCATTCATGTAATATTTCAAATGGTCTCACCTCGTGGCCTTAGAATTAAACTTCATCTTCTCAGGGTAGCACACCTGCTTGATTAATGACATTGCAGGGCAGTCTGGGTTGGTACGGGCAGCCCGTTTAAATATTGATGCTGTCACCCTTCCCGCTCGATGACTGTACCATGTACTGTTTGATTGGCATCTTGTGGTCTCTTCTAAAGCTGCAGCCTAAATTTAAATAATCAAAAGTGCACAGTCTTTGTATGTCTGCATGAAATATCAATACCCATACATTCATTTCATTTATATATTTAGGAGGATTAGATACATTATTGATAAGGTCGCCGCAGACGGATTAGGTGTGAACGAAATCGAATACCGGTACATTATTTGTATGGTCAGACATATATACTTGTAGTTTTGTGAGAAAAAATCTGATCGTTTGAATCTGAAATTAAACATTACATACCTGGATGGGATCATAAGTTATTTTCTGCAATAGATCCTCACACTTAACCAACAGGTCGGGAAATGTCAATGGCTGCAAATCCGGGTCAAATAATAAGTCAGGTATCGTTTTAGGCAAGTTTACCAATACAGGACGTGGGACAAATGACTTGGAGTATTCTGGTATCAGGCTGAGTATGGCACACTTAGTTCCACTACTGTTCAAATCACTGTAGAATTTATTAGTCTCTTCTTCTGTGGGTCCTGGTATTTTATCACTTTTGCGAGTCTTGCGTGTTGGTGCTGTTGATGGAGCACACATTGCTGTTCTTTTGTGGGATGGGCTTGAAAACTCTATGTCACTCCCTGGTCTGTATGAAACAGGTTTGTCAGATACGCTGCTCCACTCACATGGAACTGAGGTACAGGACTGACGAGCTACATTTATGACTCTTGTCTCCAACGCAAATAGAGTTGCTGCAATGTGTGAGCATGCCTCCCCTAGACCTGCCATGCAGGTACAATGAGCACATATCACCTCCCCACTAGGATGCACAGCTATCCACGGTTCCAGTGGTGTTTTATTTAGTGCCTGAGAATGGTATACCTGTAATCATATAATTATTATTCGATGATACCAATTCTTCACGACATGACCTCGTAGGCCTAAATATGGATACAATTTAATTTAAATCTAGCTAACGTGTAAGGCAATTGATACACTGGATCGCAATCGAAAGTTGGTTATTTGTTTACAACTAGATGTACAAAAACATGTGTACAATAAATCAGGTCAGTATACACCGACCACTGTCCGACTTAGTTGTTTACTATGTAGCAACTTTGACCTGTTGAAAGACAAACTGACATATGCAGTGCAGCCCACACTGACTCGATTTTCAAACGGTAGTGACCGTGAGGAGTGGAGAGAGGACGTTGGTTACATTTATCAACAATTAAAATCATTCAACAAAAATCGTAGAGGAGGCTTTGGACCGAAGTAAACTTAGAAAAGTGAGATAACATCTTGGCGTACAAACCTTACCTTAGCTAGAATAACAAGAGATCCCGATGTACATCTATATGTAAGTACATTTCTTACATAACCAGCAACAAGGTACTGATATCCCTCAAGCGATTTGTAGGCCTTCAAGGTCTGTCCGTTGAACAACTTGCTAGGCGTATTGATCAGGTACTGGTAAATATCTCCAAAACTAAAATCCGGGAGATTCTTTTTTGAAAGTGACATTAATCCAATTAATTTATTGCGATCAATGCTATACGGGTCAACCCCGTCCAAAGGTTCAATTTTTGTTATATATCGATTCAGACTTTCATGATCTAACTTAGATATTTGAGACGATTTCCTCGTAGAAGAAACAGTTGTTGTTTTGCTTTCCGCCATATTTGATGTTTTGATTTTCCCGGGCTTTTCTAGACGGCCAGCTGAACTGAGCTGGAAAAATGTGTATTTGTGACGTCACTCGTGCATAGGGTCAATAAGCAGTTCTGAGGTCATGCATATGTATAATGTACTCATTGTGGAGAATGTTATTTGCCTTAGCTTTATTCATGGCAAACCAATCCATGAAACCATCAAGCTTTTTCTTAATCATCATCAGCCATTGAAACTTTTTGGGGTAAATCAACTTATTTTGGCTGTAACAAAGCATTAACATGACAAAATGTCACCACAATATTATGAGTTCAATCTTAAGTCAGATTTGAATTTTTCTGTGAACTTGTTGATGATTTTGAAAAAATAAATTGGTCAATTTGAAGCAAGTTGAAAAAATACCTTTTTGACCTTGAGACGGCCAAATCTTTTTTGACCTTGCGAATGTCATTGAAGATCAAATGTCATTGAAGGCAAAATCTATAGCCATGTGTGCACTTCCTAGAACCTGAAGATGATTTTGAAAACAAAAATTGGTCAATTTGAAGCAAGTTGAAAAAAGACCTTTTGACCTTTTTTGACCTTGAGAAGGTCATTGAAGGTCAACTCTCAAATCTAAAGTCAGATTTGAACTTCTGATAACTTGTAGACGATTTTGAAAAAAAAATTGGTCAATTTGAAGCAAAATGTAAAAATTCCTTTTTGACCTTGAGAAGGTAATTGAAGGTCAAATCTTTTTTGACCTTGAGAATGTCATTGAATGTCAAATCTATATTCAGATTTTAACTTTTGAGAACTTGAAGATGATTTTGAAAAAAAATTGGTCAATTTGAAGCAAGTTGAAAAAAGACCTTTAAGACCTTGAGAAGGTCATTAAAGGTCAAATCTTTTTTGACCTTGAAAATGCTATTTAAGGTCAAATCTATATTCAGATTTTGACTTTTGATAACTTGAAGATGATTTTGAAAAAAATTGGTCAATTTGAAGCAAGTTGAAAAAAGAGTCATCGAAGGTCAAATCTGAATTCTAAACTCAGATTTGAAATTTTGAAAACTTGAAGAGGATTTTGAAAAGAAAATTGAAGCAAGTTGAAAAAAGACCTTTTCTAACCTTTTTTGACCTTGAAAGGTCTAATTCTAGAGTCAGATTTGAACTTCTGAAAACTTGTAGATGATTTTGAAAAAAATTGAAGTCGTTACATTTGATTTCTCACTTCCTGAAAGTTTGATTCAATTCTGGTATAAAGAGACAAAGGTATCATATGGCTTAATTTTTTGTTGTATTGAATTTAGGAGAAATAGGTTTCAGAGTTTTGGGTTTTGAAAATCAGAATATTAGGTTTCAGAGTACAGGGTGGAACGACACCTTCATAAGTACTTCACATTCACATGAATAATGCACCTTCACAAGTATTTGACATTCCCATGAAATGTCTTTATAGTTACACATACTTTGGGATTCATGCTTATGAAGACCTTACCAGCAGCCAAGCTATATAATCAGGCCTGTCAACTTGGGAACACCTAACATGAGTGACTTGGAAATGTTGAACACCTCCCCTCAAAATGTGGACACCTTGGTCCAAATCTGAACACCTTGATCCAAATTTTGAACACCTTGGTTTAAATTTTATTACATCTTGTCAAATTTTGAACACCTCAAATTTTTCGCGCTCGCTACGCTCGCGTTTTAATCATCCATCAACGGGGGGGGGGGGGGGGGGGGGGTAGGTACGAAAAATTTCGAACGGAATGCGTGACATATCCGTAATTCGCGTGAAAAGTCCGAACGAAATGCGTATGTTTTTTTCCCGTCGTTCGTATTTTTCCTGTGTAGACGATCTTTTTTAGAAAATTTTCTACAGAAATATTTTTGCTTCACAATTACCAGGTAAAATGCGTATTTGCGTGACATTTTCTGTCACGCAAAAATAACTGGCGTGACTTCAAATTCTTCAGCAAATGCGTGACAAATACGCAAATTGCGGGACAGTTGACAGGCCTGTATAATTGATTAATTTATTCAGATGGTTATTACAATATTACACAGAGGGTGATATAAGTCTTTGGACCAAAAGGTAACAACTTACCTGTATTAAGCATATGTACATCCATTGGTCTGGCAGTTTCATAGTCTTCCCCAGTGCAGTAACCACCAAATGTATATACATGTGTTTCTATAGCAACCGCAGCATGATTGACACGCCTAGGCCCACCCTCCAAAGCCACAGTCCAATGCATTGTGTCAGGTAAACATCTGAAACTGTAGTGAAAAGACCTAAGTATTATCATCTTAGGGGTCGACTCAAAATAATTTTACTAATTTCTGCATGTAGAACATAATGCTCATTGCTACATAAAAATATAATAAAAATGGTGCTAAAAATACCAAACAAAATCATTTGCATATAGAAATTAGTGCAAGAAATATTTCCAAAATGTAAGCCTGGGTCTTTTCCATATTAAAGGGATCCGCTTGGGAAATAATGAGCAAAAGATCGAGTTATTTGCTGACGATACAACACTGACAGTAGATAGCAAAGAATCTCTTAAACTGGCTTTAAACATTTTTGATGAATTTAAAGATATTTCTGGATTATGTATTAACAAAGAAAAGACAGAATGTATGTATATTGGTTCAGAAAGATCTAAAACTGAGGATAAGTTATACGGTTTAAAATGGGTTAAAGATCCAAGTAAATTTCTGGGAATTTGTGTCTCATATAATAAGAAATCAAATGATTTTGTTAACTTTGAGAAGAAATTAGACTCGCTTCAAAAAGTATTGAAAATGTGGTCAAGAAGAAATTTAACTTTATATGGTCGAGTTCTGATAATCAAAACGCTTGGTATTTCTAAACTGGTGTATTCCATGTCAATGACAAATACCCCAAATGATATATTAACAAAGGCACAACAGATAATTTATTCATTCCTATGGGGTGGAAAAACGGAAAAGGTTAAGAGACGAACTTTAATTGGTGATTACGACGAGGGTGGTCTAAGAATGATTGACATGTTTTCAATGGAAAAAGCACTTAAACTGATATGGCTAAAAAGATTAATCGAACCTCGACAAAGTCATTGGAAATATATCCCAGAATTGTACTTTAAACCGCTTGGGGGAATGAAGTTCTTTATACAATGTAATTTTGATATTAAAACAATAGCCCACGACGTGCCAGAATTTTACTCAAATATTTTACAAATTTACTCTGATATAAGGAATATGCAAGCTCCAAGAACTAGTTCTGAAGTTAAAAGTGAAATACTCTGGAATAATAGATTTGTCCTAATTAATAACAAAGAGGTCATAAATAAGCATCTTATGGATAATGGGGTCGTTTACGTAAATGACCTCCTAAATGACCAGGGACATTTTTTACAGTATTATGATTTTAAGGCAAAATACAACGTACAAATTAATTTTATTGATTATTATGCTATAATATCAGCTGTACCGAAGGAGTGGAAACGTTTATTGAAGCGAGACTTAACTTCAGTTTTTGAACCGAGCCTACAAACGGATCTTGTGCATTTAACACTTGGCGAAAAACCAGTGTCATTGAATGGTTTAACAGTGAAGTCAATTCAAAAAATATTAAATAGAAACAAATATTTGGAACCACTATATAAAAATGAACATGATCGTGAGTTAGGAAGAATAGATTATTTTAAAATGGCTTATAGCTGCACGAAACAAAATAAAATTCGACAACTTCAATTTAAGATTCTACATGGTATTTGTACCACAAATGCTTACTTAACGCAGATAGGAATTAAACAGGATGCTAGATGTAGTTACTGTCCATTAAGAGACACTTTAAAGCACAAGTTTTGGGAATGTAGGCGGGTTCAGATTTTTTTGAAAGCTATTAAAGAGAATTTGGGGAAATTATTCAATGTAAATCTTAATTTTAATGCCCATGATATGGTGTTCGGAAGATCTGTAAATAATGAAAACACTTTGCTAAACAGGCTATCACTAGCAACTAGCAATCAAATATTATATATATGCAAAACAATTTAATGAGGTAAATCCCAACTTGGACGTGACTCAATTTGAAAATACCATGTTTATGTATATACCAGAACTTCTGGGTATGACTGTTGCGAATGTCTGAATGAATGGAGGTGGTGTGAAAGTGGTTTAATATTTTATCATTGCCTTGTTTAATGTATTATTTTATGTTTGATTCAATAAAAAAAAAAAAAAAAAAAAAATAAATAAATAAAAATAAAAGAACTCAAATGATAAACACTTTTGTACAAAGCCTTATAGATCTTTGTGCTAAGGGCAATAAGACAAACTATTATAATGCTGTAAAAATCTGCTTGGTATTTCATTGTTTGACCTGGTCAAGATAACAAAAGTATGCCATTATCATATCTTATGGTATCAATAATAATGTTTCTTCCTGGTGAACTTCAACTGAACTTTGTTTATGTTTATTGTTGATGACAAGGCAATTGAGGTCATAATAAAAGTACATGGATGTAACTTCATTAAACATTTATATTCCATATTCAATGGGTAGAGCAGCACTATGTAGGAAATATGATTAATGAAATCTACTTGCATGTCCCTGGGGGAAAAATGGCGTCCAGTTCAAAATAGTCAAAAAAACTTGCCCTTGTCCAAAATTGTTTAAGAACTTACCCAATTCAAAAGATTAAAAAACACTTAGCCACTTCAAAATAGTTTAAATAAACTTACCTGTACCTAAATAGTTCAAAAACTTACCAGTCCAAAACATTTAAAAACGCTTACCCATTTCAAATTATTTAATACCCATCCCCAACCCCCTAATTATGTAACCTTCATAAGCCAGTTTCTAGTACAGACTTGACATTTTTAGGGGTTCATCTCGGGTAAACCCTTATCAGAAATTCAAACAGCATCATAATTGTAGATCTAATAGCTATTATTATTTGGGAGGCAGGTTATCATGAGAGTTTCAATATGGATTTAGATATTGACCAAAGGGTAATATGATGACCAAACTTTCTGGAGTTAAAAGCATCAATAGTATATTTCAGGGAGTTAAGCAACTGAGTATCAATGATTCAATTTGATATGACCCAAGGTCAATATCCTGCTATCATAGCCTAGGATAAATCCCATGTTTGATCCCTCCCAGTAAATAGCTAATATGTCTCCCAAATATATTTATTGTATAAATAATTTATCTAAAATGCTATAATGGAACCAATGAAAATGTCAATGTTTAGTAAATAAATCCATAGAACAGATTATTATATTTGCAGATAAATGTCAAACTTATTGGGACCCAATACCAGAAAGTATATTTCCCAGTCAATATTATCAAATATGATTTCTCTACAGTCAATAAGATTTTTATTCAATGAATTGATTATTACAGTAAAACCTGTCCGATGGAATACCTCTCTGTAGGGAAAACCTATGAACAAGGAATGCTTTTCAAAAGAACCAAATATTTTTCCAGTGACTTACATGTTAACGGACCCTCTCTGTAGGGAAAACCTGTGAACAGGGAACAAGGAACACTATTTTGGTGCAAATTATGAAAATTCACCTGCGAACAAGGAATATGGAATATTGGTGACACTGTATATTCCATTATTTTTCAGAGGTGTGAAAGTCTTAAGCCAATATCTGATTCTAAAAAGCTTGGATTAATATGATTGAGATTAAGATAAGCCAATTGTTTACAGGATGAAGCATCCCACCCACTGTTAATTACCCTGATATATTTTAAAACTAATACTAATCTGTTTGTTACTCATTATCATGACACTAATTCTTCCTTTCAACAAACATAATTACATCAAATCAGTTGTGATAATCTAGGAATTGACACAATCGTTTTATGGAGATAACAGATAACACCCTTGGTATACGCAGCTAACGAAAATTGACCGGTACGGGTCAAAAGCTGGACTGGTACGGTCTTAACGGTTTTATTTGAATTTAAAACAGCCATAACTTGCTCAATATTGACTTACTCGTGTCTAATTTGAAATATATGATGCCTCCCGATGCTTTTAAGTACCCCAATTTTTTACAGATTTTTAAACGGACCAAAACTCTCTAAATGCGCATTTATGCTCTTTTCTCTCGAGAACGACTGTCTCATTTTCACGATAACTTTTATAATGGGCTTTCAACTAGAAGGGTAGGCAACTTCCCATATTTCATACATAAGCATTGCCTTTGGGTTTTCAAAATAGGAGAGTGTACACATTCCAAGAAAATCTTATTTTGTTCTTTTTATGGATGATTTAAAGCAATAACTCAAAAATAAAAACATGATCATCTACATACATGTTGATAATTTAATAAAAAATGGAATTCATCATAATTATGACAACACAGAAAATGAACATTCTCCCACAAATTATGTTTTTATTGGAATGTGTTCTTGAATAATTACCCACAATGCAATACTCAAAGAGAACATCTTGATACCTCTTATTCTTATTGGTCTTTTTTGTTTACTTTTACATGAGATTCAATATATTTTATGGTTTAATCATATTGGAAATTGATTAAATATTCAAAATAATACTAAGACATATACAAAAAATATCTAATACTTTTTGAAATATTACCATAAAAGCGAAGCATGGCATTGCTCATTTTGAAGGTCTCATGTTTATTACACAGAGTTGCATACCCTTCTAATTGAAAGCCCATGCTTTTATTTAGTACTTCTAACATATAAGATCTATTTTTCCCCATCAAGGTATGATGTAAATGACATGCTATTTACATCTTGTGAGTTTCAATGACGCGCGTTTGATTTTATAAAAAATGCCAAACTTTGTGACAAAGAATTTCATCCTGCTTGCAGCGAGAAGACGGACCGGTTCGGGGCAATCTGCTTGCCGCGAGAAGACGGACCGGTTCGTCATATTTCGGAGTTTGACACATGGTGAAATTTTCTCGCTATAGCTAAAAATGGCTTCCGGTTCTGGACGTGAATAACATTTGAAATTATTCTCGCTTTAAAGAAATCAAATATAACAATAGATTCAGACGGGGATGTGAGCTGTTAAGGTTCAGCTGGAAAGTAACATTTTGGTAAAAAATTGCTATACCTGCACATGTTATTTTCTGGTACAGAATTAAGTATGAAGGCATGTGTGTATTTCCTTGCTTTTTTCAGGAAAGTATCATTACACTGTCTACTTTTAGTAAACCTGGAAACTGGTCAATGGTAGCTCCTGTGTTGTCTGGAAACTTTGAAAGAAAATTTGGAAAAACAGGAAGTGTGAAATATCAGAATTCCCTGGAGTTCCCTTTGAACGCTTACCAGATATTCTAAAAGAAGACAATGTAATGATACTTTCCTGAAAAAAGCAAGGAAATTGATACATGCCTTCATACTTTATTTTGTACCAGAAAATAACATGTGCAGGTATAGCAATTTTTACCAAAATGTTACTTTCCAGCTGTACCTAAATCTATAACATAAAGGTATATTTCATATTATTATGCCATATTTACTGTGCGTGTGACACAATGATTTACAATATTTATAATACTAAGGCAGCTCAATCTTCCTCCTCAAAGCCGGAATATAGAGAAGGCTTTGGACCGAAAGACTAGATGAGTGAGTCGGAAATTTTGAAAATAATTTAAAGTAAATACAATCAGTGTACCACTATTCGTCGACAGTCATTGACTTTTATAAGAGGTAACTCACCGTTTTATATACTTTTAATTTCTCCTCGACGGAGTTCTTATATGACAGTATACTATAAATATATTGTAAAACGTAAAGATAATCGCATTTGTTGTTCTTCTGAAGTAGGTCATGACAAGATGCTTAACATTCCCTAAGATGTATCATACAGTTCTATCTGTTTAAACTCATTTGTTTAATATCATTAATTTGACTACTGATATATAAAATGGCTTTCTTGTATATGTAAGGGTACAAATTATTGACAGAAACATGATGATTTATTGTAGCACTTACATAGGTAGAACACAGTCATGAAATTGTTTTTGGAGCAAACATGCTCAAAGATACTGGATTTATCCATATATTCGACATTTTCATAGTAGAAAGTCATAATAAGAAAGCACCTAATTGGTAAGTGGATATCTATGTATCAATTTTAAATGTATTGAAGTTTTACTTTGGATTAAAGTGATTGATTGTACTAACTCTATTATCGCCCATCAAAATAACACATTAAGAAATTCTCCATCTAAAATGTCACTCGACTTTTTTGTGATTATGAGGCAAAGAAAGCATTCTTGAGTTTCAAATTGACTTCTGTGGTAACTTGAAACCATCTTCTAATTTATTCCACTTACCTTTTATTGTTTCTCCAAATATATTCTTTGAAAATCGGATTTTAAGGGTGTTAATCAGGGTAATTCTGTGCCATTTTATCCACGGACCTCTGCCAGAAAAGCTCCTCTGTGTCTAGGCTCAATAAATATACTCAAGGATAAGACACGAGATCTTCGGAAAATTTATTTTCCCTTGATTTTGGAGTCAGTTTTTCAATAAATATCACATGTCATACCTCAAACGATGCGTACTGTTGTTAGCTTCAACTCCAATCACTAAAGCCAAACATCCAAGAAAGCGTCTGTTGATAAAAGCATAAAATAGGCGAGCGTATATTTAATGGAGCACTTCGGCTATCTCCGTTGTTCAAATGATTATTCCCGAAGTCAAATGCCTTTTCTGAGAATGTGACGCCACTCCAGATGACGTCACATCAGAGATTACCGAGAAGTCCCGTGACGTTTCTTTAAACTCCCGTAGAAACAATAACGACGGTTTATTAGGCTACACGATTCTTTACTTTCATTGGCTGTTTGTTGCGATGTGACGTAATTTGAGAGACGAACAACATCGGACACTGCCGGAAATTACCGAAGTGCTCCATTATCTTTACGCTCTGAAAATTTGAAATAAATGTCCCGGGAAAAGTCGAATTACAGCGTCAATAATGGATATCATGCAACCATTCAAACTAATACATAAAGAAGAGATTACAGGGTAAATATTGATCAATCAATGTCTGACAGATGGAAAAAATAAAGGTCAGTACGAGGGTCATATTTTTGGGTGGTCATTTTTTTGATGTGCCATTTTTGGCTCGTGTCTCATCTTCCCATTTATCCTTTGAGCCTACTACCAACAGGGGCTGGATCTGGCTCCGGATCTGTGATTTTATCAAAAATCTTGTTGCTATCTAGAAACGAGCAATTGTGATCTTGTTGTTACCTAGGAACGAGCAACTGTGATGTCACGTCACACTCATGTTAATTCTGGAATCACATGGCAGCCATTTTGGAAATTTCAAAAAAGTCCCAATTAAAAAGGCTAAATGCTGTTTACAAATTGGAAACTATGGCAGAATCAACAAAGGGTTTGTGAAATAATTAGGATATGGTTTCAAAATTATGCACATGACAATATATGACTACTAAATGCAGGCAGGGACTCTTAATTGCCAAAAAGTCGAGTGACATTTTAGATGGAGAATTTTTTAAGGTATGAGCACAGATATTGGCCAGATCGTTTTGTAGTAGGATCATAGGCTCAAAGAATAATACAGAAGATACGACACTAAATTGGAAAATTTCGAAAAAAAAGTGACCACCTTTCAAAACGTTCCTTATACAAAATGGTACCTGTTTCCCCGTGACAGATTTTGCACTTATTTTGTAGCTGAGATCTTCATCTTTCTATTTCTACTTGTTTGGTTCGAGTAAATAACCTATGGATGCAGTTATTTGACTTTCAATCGACGAATATTTTTCACGATATCCGGACTCTTGTGTGTCCAAATATCATTGTAATGATGACGTCACATTTCTGGAACCACGGGAGCAACATTCAGATTTGGACAGACAAGAGTCCGGTGATAAAATATCACTGTTTTGGCCTCTTATCAACGCAGTATTGCTTGAATAACGGCCATTGGTGATAAAAAGGTAAAGAATAACAAGACCCTTCGAATGAGGTATGATTTGTCTCATATTTTTCAGAAATGGCTCCAGAATCGTCATTTTAAAATTTGAAATTTTCTGAGGTGTCTCATCTTGAGGAAATATTATTCAGCAGGAGATCCAAGACGTCATTTCCATTGTTCTTTCGGCAAAATCGCGTAGTAATCTACGGTGATCAGTCCATTTAAATTTCACGCTTTTGAACGTCATGGTGTATACATGCATTTCTAATCGATCATATCTCAGTCAATATTTATCATTATATTATAAATTTGATAATTAATGAAAGCTTATAACCAGGGCATTACGTATGTGAATTTATTATTTTGGTCAGATAAAATACCAACCAGTTACGGGTGCTAAAGTTTTGACATATTTTTCATTAAAAATGCAGAAATGTGTATCATTTTCGCGGGTTAAATAGGCTATTAAAACAAGTCGGGTTAAAAAATGTTTTTCACTCATCATTTAGCCCACATCGAGCTCTTTCCAATGGTATAATTGTTTTTTTCTGAAACCCCTGAAGACAAATTTCTGCCAACTTTCTGTAACGACGAGTGAAAAATCATGGTTTTTCCCGCAAACCAATGACGTCGTATTTCTCGATTTTTATACCAAGATTAGATTTGATACGCGTATGATATTTGTTCACGGTCATATCTCGGTCAATATTCGTCATTGAATGATCATTTTTATAGTTAATGAAAGCTTATTACAAGGGCAATGCGCATATGGATAAGTTATTTCGACCCGATTAAATACCACCCAGCTACGGGCACAAACGTGTAAAACATTTTTTCACAGAAATTCACTGAAAATGCACAAATGTGTATCACATTCGCGCGTTAATTGGGCTATTAAATCTCGTCGAGTTAAAAATGTTTTTCACTCTAAATTTAGCCCACAATGAGCTCTCTCCAATGGTACGATTGTTTTTTTCTGAAACCTCTGAAGACAAATTTCTGCCAACTTTCTGTAACGACGAGTGAAAAATCATGGTTTTTATCGCAAACCAATGACGACGTCGTATTTCTCGATTTTTAAACCAAGATTAGATTTGATACGCCTATGTATTTGTTCATGGCCATATCTAGGTCAATATGCATTAATGATTCAGTATGAATCTAATACAACATAAAAGAGTATCACAAGCACATCACATTGATGGACTTATTACATATGATCCGATGGAATGCAGCCAATAAAACCAGGTTACGTGTTACCGTTCTTCACGCCAAATGCGTAAATGTGACTCGTTTTAGCGCATTAATTGAAGCATGGTTGGACATCAGTAAGAATTCTTTTCCAACATTGAACAATGAAAGTCAAAATACCTGGCTTTTAATTTTACGTTGTGAGGTCGGCGGCCGTCTCTATTTCTCGATTTGTCGAATTATTTCGAAGGCATGTTTTACTCGAAAATGATCAGCTCACGTATACATATTCATTCATAGCATAATGACCCCTGTTTAGTCTCGGATGAGCTGTGAATGCCTTCTATGCCCGGCTTCAATTCAACAATTCTGCCGACGCCCCTAAGTCAACACGCAATTAAAAATCATCCAATAAAACCGCTATCAGGCTATGCAGATATAAATTTTCGAAAACACTATCTCGACAGATTGGTTTTAAAAAAACATTGTACTGGTAATTTCAGCATTATGTTCCGAGGAGCCACTCACCTAATAGCCATAATTTTTAAATTGTGCATCCTCAGTCTGTCAGCCGCTTAGCGTATGGATCAGTGACGCTGACCGCATATTGCACCTTTTATAATTTGTAGCAGTTTGCACAACGTCGACGTGCAACTAGTTGGTGCAAGGAGGGTTGACTCCAAGAATTTCAGTTTTGGAATGTTTCGATAGGAAATAAGACCAAAATTCACGATCCAAATGTTGAAGTGAACAAATGGCGGCTGTTGGAATTCGAATTTTGAAGCACATTCCCATATGAGACAGAATATGGATATTGTACTCTGCGAGGCAATCTTCCTTGCCCTTAGGAAAATCAATAGTGCATCGACTTTATTTATTTAATAATTGAAAGGAAGTGAAGTTAACGAAATATTCGAATACAATACATACTTCCGAAAAAGCACATTTATTTCGTGGGTATTTAAAGGACCGCGAGTTGTTTGTAGAATGAATCTAGAGAGCTTGTTCATGCATTCCACTTGTGTTTTTCATCTAAAAAACATCAATATACTTTAAAACACTATGTAACAATACTTGGGTGTATATCCATAAATAATACTTGAAAATGAGATATTTTTGGGGATTATATGGTGCAATCTTAAAGTCAATTAAATGCTTTAAAGTGTATCATTCTACAAACAACTCACGGTCCTTTACCCTACAAAACTCCCCTACCCTTCCGTGTTTTCCTGACGTTTTCACGAACCTTCCCTGTTCCACCTAACAAGACTCTTTTCCCCCATTGCTATACCCGTATACTGGTATACTGCCTATAGATCTGTGCACAGGAGTTTCACACGGAAAATGAACTTATTTTAGGAAATATTGTGGGAAAAATTATACGTAGTAAATAATTTCTCAACAATATAGGCTGACCGTTGAATGCAATTATTCATTTATTTCATTTCATCAATACTAGTAATCATAAAATCATGACGCTGACATGCCAGCATGCTGACATGGTTTTAATTCTAAAAATTAAGATAAAGTTAGGGCTGCCATCGAACTCAAATGTCAGTGTCGACAGTCGAACTCTGCTGTCGAAAATATTGTCGACAATCGAACTTTCCAGGGAGAAAAAATCATCGGGAAAAAAAGAAAAATTATTTCTGTGTTGTTGGTTCGTTTTTTCCAAATCTTTC